GAACATAGGATGGAGTATCACTTTAATAGAATGGGAAAAGATCTGGAGTAGAAACAATAAGATTACAAAATCGGCAGCATATAAAGAAAACGGTTATAAAATGTCTAACATATGGCACCTTCCTCCCTCAAGATTAGCGAAAATACACCCCAATATGAGTCTGAAATGCTGGAAATGTGAAAAAAAGGAGGAACCTTTTTTCATATGTGGTGGTCCTGTATAGAAGCCCAAAAATACTGGCAGAGAATTAGAAATTGGCTGGAAGATATAACAAAAGAACAGATTGAGTATAAACCAGAGTCCTTCCTGTTAGGGATCTTCGATAAACAGCTATCAAAAAAAGTGAAGTACATAACAATACACATATTAACAGTGGCCAGACTAGCTTTTGCTCAATGTTGGAAGCTACCCCATATACCTACAGAACAGATGATCACCCAAAAAATCTCAGACTGTGCAGAAATGGACAAACTAACTTTAGCCTTAAAAAATAAAGATTCTTCAATATATTATAACTATTGGAATTGCTGGTATAAATGGTTAGAACAAAGAAAGATTTTATATCATAAGGCAAAAAAGAATAGGACAAATTTATGAGTGATATATAAACATACATATGGATAAGGTATGCGTATATGGCATAAACCAAGAAAAGAAAAGATCTTACAAACTGTTGAAAATGAGAATGTTTTTAAGTGTTTTTCTATTCTTTTTTCTTTTTCTTTTCTTTTTTGCTCTTCTGCGTATGTGTTGTTGATTTGTTTTTAATTGTAAAATTAATAAAATTTGTTTTTTAAAAAAAAGAACCAGTGCTGAAGCATCCTGACCCTGAACAACGCTTTGTCATTCAAGCAGATACCAGTGACATGGCAATGGGAACAGTGTTACTCCCAAAAAATGACCAAGGAAGCCTACAGCCCTGAGCCTACACTTCCTGAAAGCTCATGGACACAGAGAGACAATGGGCTGCATAGGAAAAAGAGGCTTTCACGGTGAGACAGGCACTGCAAACCAGGCACCACCTGCTGGAAGAGGGCAGAGACCCCTACCTCATGAGCCTCCAGACCCTGTGGTCATAGGATGCCATACCCATTATTATGAGGTGTAGCGAATCCTCGATTGGAGGTGGCACAGGAGACAACTCAAATGGAAGGGCTACCCCTTATTAGAGGCATCTTGGGTAAAGAGTAGGAATGTCCAAGCCGAACCTTGTAGCAAGGTTCCACGCAGAAAATCCAATCAAGCCTGAGGAGGAGATTCACAACCCTAAGTTCTATACCTGAAATCAATTCAGGGATTTTTTGTGTGTGTGTGTCGTACAGGTCACCTTCAAGAAGTGAGGGGAGCCAAATGTCAACTCAAAAAACATTTCTCTGCCCGTTTTATAGTTGCCAACAGAAAGGGAAGGGGGAAAGAGTTTGAAAGAGCAGTACAGCAGTTTGGAATCGAAAGTGCATTCCATTCATGTCTTGCAGAGATTGTAACTAGGCGAATGAACTTTCTGCTGTGCAAATCTCTAATTGGAGAACATAATTGATTACTCTTGGCTATGGAGGTGTTTCATTGGAGAATATGAATTATGATACATCCAGAGGGGTGGGGGAAAACCAAGGTCAAGGGTGACAGTGAATTACATGTCTCAGAATCGGCTATATACAGGTCATGGCAATATGTCGCTCCTAATGAATTCTTTGAATTTTTTTGAAGTTTGGCTCAAGGCTCATGATTTAATTAGGACATTCACTGGAATCCTGACAACTACCTTAAACCAGGTAGTTAAACAAGGTAAATATGTTCCTTTATGACTATAATTTAATACCAATTGGATCTCTACCTGAGATTCACCTTGAGAACCTCTTCCTGAGATCCTTTAAGAAGTCCTTTAAGATCTACTGTGTTTTTTGCATCCCCGCCAAAAGTGGTTGGAAATGTCTGTGCATCTTATAGAGCAAATGTAGCTGAAGCCCCATCCACCCACTGGCCCCCACCTTTTGGCCTCTGTCTCTCAGAAATTTGCTTCCTTGCAGCAAACAGCAAACAGCCTGGTCAGCTTCAGCACAGCCTGATTTAGCACAAACTAAATCGCTGCCCCTACCTGGAACTGGCCAAAAAGATGACACGTGGAATTCAAAAACAGGGTGCATGGAGGCCAAAAATGGGGCACATGGAGGCTGAAAATGGGGCTCAATGGAGGCGGCAATAGGCAACGGTGGCGATAGGCAGCAGCAATCCCCGCAGCCAGGAACAGCTGATCAGCGGTATTCCTGGAGACCGATCCAACCGCCAATCAGCTGCTCATGCTCAATCAGGCTGTGCTGAAGCTGAGCAGGCTGTTTGCTGTTTGCTGCAAGGAGACAAATTGCTAGGAGGCAGAGGCAGATTTTATTTTCTTCCCCAAATGCTAGATACATCTTATGGTCTGGAGCATCTTATAGTGCAAAAAAAATATGGCAGTTCTTTCCTCTGGCCTTGGGCCACAATGATTTATTATTATTATGTACCATCAAGTTGTTTCTGATTCCCAGCAACGATACAGATTTTCCCCAAGACCATCCAACTCTAACTTGGTCTTTCATTTCTTCCAATGGTGCACCCATTACCTCTGACAATCCATTCACCCTGCTGCTAGTCCTTTCTTTCTTTCTTTCTTTCTTTCTTTCTTTCTTTCTTTCTTTCTTTCTTTCTTTCTTTCTTAACATTAGAGTCTACTACAGGGAGCTATGCTTTTTTATGATGTGTCTAAAGTAGCATAATTTAAACCTGGTCATTTGCATCTCAAGTGAGAACTCTAGAATAATTTGTTTGATGATCTATTTATTTGTACTTTTGGCTATCAATGGATACTCAAGGAGCCTCAAGAGACTTCTTTAAAAACAAAGTTCAAAAGTGCCCATCCTCTCTCTATTCTGCCATTTGAAAGTCCAACTTTAACTTCTCTCAAATGTCACAGAAAATAGTATGATTTTCACAATTTTGAACTTTGTAGGTACAGACAAATCACAGCATTTTAATAGCTTTCCAATGCCTTTATGGCTGCTCTACCAAGCACTTAGTTTACAGCATGTTTCTTGATTGATGATCTCAACTGACCATCATTTACAGTTGATGGTTGAACCTAAAAGGGTTGCTACCTACCACTTCAAAATCTTCGTTGACAATTCTAAATATGGTTGTTCTACGTATTGTATTTTACATTTAACTTTAGTCTCATTTTCTTCACTTTGCTCCTTAACTTTCATTACTTATTACCAGATATTATTATGAGAATTTGCAAATCCTTGCATTTTGGGTTAGCAGAGTTCTGTCATCAACATATTAAAGGTTGTTTATATTTCTTCCTCTGATTTTAAAAATAGCTTTAAAAAACTAGTTTCTCTGAATATATATTCAGCATATGGGTTGAATAAACAAGGGAAGAATAAAGAGCCTTGTAAGAAATCTTAGCCAATCTGAAGCTATTTTTTCCCCAAAGTTTTTTATTTTACATACATATAAATGCGTGAACAACATAACACCTGGGTGTTTTATATTTTACATCCAATAACATATTAGTAATCTATTTTTTCCCTAAACTTATTTCATTCTAGCATTAATACACATCCTTATATTCCATTATAGTCTTCTATTCATGTATACATTCAATATTTCATTATATTGGTTCTTTTATGTTAATCTTCATATTATTCAAATATAATATCGCCACTATATTGTATACCATTATTTTCCCCATCTCCAATTCTATCCCAGTTCTAACTTTTAGTTATGCCACTACAGTTCCCAAGAATATTCCCTTTTTTAAATATAATATTCCATTCCTCAAATATATCCTTCCTTTTGCCACAAATAAAACATCAGTAATCATATTTAGTGCATTTTGACAAGTCCTTGTAACTCTACTAATAATAGTCCTATTCATATTAAATCACTACTTTAACAATCATTCAAGTTCCATTTAATTAATATTTCAATACATTGTTTTTATACTAATCACTACTTTAATTATCATTTCATATATTCCATTAGTCCCTGTCTCACTAATTTTCAACCTTATTCTAAATTTAATTATGTCTTTACAGTATTAACAGAGAAAAGAAAAAGGGAAAATAAATTTAAAAAGAACAAACTTCTTCTTTAGTCATTATCTCTTATTTGTTTTAACATGTTAAACATTCTCTTCGTAGCTCGTCTCCCATATTCCTTTCTCAAATCTTTGTCCCTGTCTGCCTCCATAACGTAACCTGTCATTTTAACTGTTCTCCCTTCTCCACTCTGTTCCATTGTCTAACTTTCAAAATGTATGCTCTTGTTTTTATCTCTCTCTCTCAGGGGAATCATTTTGCAATTATTCCCTCTTTCCATTCCACACTCTCTGCTTATTACAGCCATTATTATTATATTTGTTGTCTTCTTTCTCATCATCATAGTCTATTTATTGATTTTTTTTCTGTGTTCTCTTCTGATCCTCTAATTAATTCCTCTTCTTCTTGTGTGTCTCACTCGCTCCTTTCCAGCTTTTCCTCTATGCTCTGCATTTTATTAAGAACTCCCTCCCAGCTGTCCTTAATAGCCTTAAATATCAACGCCATTTCTGCCCAGTTTCCGTTTTGTTCTTGCTGGTAAAACATCTCATTTAACTTCTTTTAATGTTTTTTTTAAAATCCAATAATCTAAACATCCAAAGACAAATCAAATATCCATGCCAAAATCAGTTCTCACAAAGTTTAGAGTTCTTATATCGTATTTTCAATCCTTTTGTTAAAACTTTCAAAGTCACTTCAATATTAATTTCTGCTTCCTGGGAATATCTTGTTCGCTGGTGACGCAGTTAAATTCTGTTATTTTAGCCAGTTTTCAATTTTAAAGTATCATAGTAAAAAATCCAAGTTTTAAAATATCTGGTTCCAATATTTTAATATGCTTCCATAAAACAACTTGACCTCTTTGAGATTCCAATTTTCTGTATTTTCTATGTTCTGAAAATTGCCTTCTCTCCCACCCACCCCCGCTTTCCATTTTTAGAATTTTGCTCTTGGTGCTTATACCGCCGCTTTTAATGTAACAGTGAAATCCTTTTTTCCTGGCATAAACTTTTTGGGGTAAATTTTAAATAGTTCTTCTTACCCAGTTCCATATATTATCCACTTTCTCCTCTCCTGCACAATGCTTCAGTATTCACAGCTGTCGCGACTTGGTGGCAGCCATTTTGATCAGCCTCTTCTCACCGTCATGGCAAAGAAAAGCTCTAGGGTTCCACAGAGGAGTTGTGTTCTCCTCTGAGACCTCACAGAGCACCCCTCCACAGCTTCACTGCCCCTCCAAGGTGGTTTTCAGCTCCTTTTGGAGTCCACAAACAGCTGAAGACCAGTGCAGGAACGGAGCTTTCCGTTCTCTGCTACTGGGTTTGTCGCGATGTCAACTGGAAGTCCCAATCTGAAGCTATTCTGTTCCACATGAATCTACAAATAATGAAGCACACGGTGACTTCTTTTTTTGGTATCTGTGGGCTTTCTCAATTATCCAGTGTGTTTAGCAATACTTTCTTGTGCCACTTGTCCTTTACAAAGGCAGCTTGAACTTGGCTTCTCTTTTTTATGTAGGGCTTTAATCTGTGCTGAGCACTATTTTGCTAGAATGTGTAGTTAAGGATAGTGTACAGTAGTTTGCATACTGGATCACGTCTCCTTTCTTTTGAATTGGAATGTAGATCAACCTCTTCCAATTAATTGACCCTTGTATTATTTTCCAGATTTGCTGCCATAGTTTAGTTAGAATCTTTGCTACTACTTCTGTTGCTTGCCATATTTCAGTGGACATTGGTTCCTATAACTTTTCAACTTGGTAATGAGCAGAGTGTTGACCACACTGCATCTACTAGATCTAGATGTATGAAATATCTTCTAAGGTATCTTGGATGTTGACATCTCTATAACACAGTGTTTCAGTATACACTTTCCATCTTAGTTTGATCAATATTAAATCAATTACTAATTGTCTACTGGCACCCTTTAACATACCAATTTGAAGTTGGAACTTCCTTCTAAGTTTGAACCTCCTGTAAGTATATGTCATATTTTGTTTGCTGCTGTGAGAGTTTAACCCTGTTTGCATTGCACAGTTACTTTGAAAGTAGGTTTATATACATTGAATAAATAAGTGAAAAATGCACTTTCAGTATTTTGGACAAATTTGCCTGCTTCAACCCTAAGAAAGGAAAGATATATTACCGTATTAGAATTGTAGGCTTATATCGAAAACCATTATTCTTTCTCAGTGTCTTCTAATTGTAATGATGCTCTTAAATAACCTTTCTCCACATTCTGACATTGTTATTACTTTGCATTTCCTTGTTTGTCTCCAATTATTGACTATACCTAACAGGATTAAGGAAACTTGTATTGAATTTTTTTACAAAGCCACAGTGTGGTTTGTTTGTTATTGGTTTAGTATGATGTGTGAATTCAGTTACTATGTTAAGCCACAGTGTGATTTGCGGCAACTGTCCCCAATTGTGATATGTGGATCACAAGGATTCTGCAAGGAAAGTTGAATTTGTTGAGATTTTGGCAATTATTTTTTAAATCTTTCTGGCCATTGATCGATTTGGAAGCCCATTTTTTAATTACAATTTTAATCCTAATTTCAATCTATCACTAAATTTATATGACAACATGCAAATATTGTGATATTTTAGAATCTCTAAAGATTTTGGTCAATTTTTTTAAATGCATTTTTATTTCATTGTGACGTTTTGTGGATGCCATGCAGGGTATCATATGTTTGGTTGTTCCTGCAAAATCCTGCATTGTCAATTCTTATATGAGGGTCCTCAAAAGCTTTTGATGCAGCTGTAGTGGTTTCATTAATGGAAGAAAACAGGGACCATAGTTAATGGCTCAGTCTATTGCTATTTTAATAAACCATTACTAATAAACCATTATTAAAATAGCACAAATCTCTGTGGGAGCAGAGAAAAACCTCTCAGACCAGTGAGGAATGATAGGCAGCCATTATGAGCTATCAGAAGCTGCGGCAGCCAGACCAAAAAGTTAATAAGAAGATCATCAAGCAGTGTGTTTATTCTAGGTGAGATTTTTCTAACCTCTGCCTTAAAAGGAAAGACTTGGTTTTTCCTCAAAAGTGGATTTAATTGAGAGTGAGACTAAAGAATAGGAGGTGGGATTTTAAACCTTCCACTTCTGGATTTGGTGGCAAAAAGGCGCTCAATCGTTAATAATAATTAAAAATAAGACACAGAAGAACGCATTATTTTGCTACAAAAATATGGAAGAGATAGAAAGGAGAGATTAAGGCATTACTGGGGTGAAATTCTGTCGTCCTTTTTTTAAATTAAAAATTGGAAACTTTTCACTGTAAAAAGGAAAAAACTTCAATCTTTAAAATTAAGGAGTGATGGGACTAAAATAGATGAAACAGATCAAGTGCGCCACCTATTAGTACTTGCTGGCAGAGAACATGTTTAAGAAGTGAAAGGACTTTTGAATAGACATGACTTTGGGGTGTTGATTATAGTGAATGAATCAAGAACAATCTTTTGATATCTGCAACTTGTTTTGCCTGGAAGACTGGAGCAGAGAGTGGAAGAACTATGACTGTGCAAAATTAGCAGCTCTCTGGCTTTATCAGTTAATAAACAAGCAAGCAGGCTGCTGCTGGGAACACTGTGAACAGAACACCTTTGGATTTTCTTTTTCCTTCTTTTGTGTTTTCCTGCTTGCCTTTAAGACTCTAAAAATCTAGAAATTGGGAAAATATAAAGACTTGCCAAATTGGACTGGATTTTAATTCTCTTTCATGGAACATGACTAATTCTTGATATCATAATTGGAGAAGGAAGAAACTAAAATCGTTCTACAAGAACTCTTGAGACGCTGTGTGAAAGATTGTCGGGGACATTTGTGGGCCTAAGTGGATTACAAATAAATTTTCATAGCCTATACACCAAAGAGGAAAAGAAGAAGAAACAAAGATGACCTGTGAGAGATATTTTGGTTTGTCTTATAAAATTTGTGAGAGGCAATATTTTGGATTTGGAGGACTTTAGGAAACTAATTACTATTGATATTCTATTTCTACATAACATTGTTGTAAAAAAGAAGAGAAGAAGGTTGAAAAAACTATACTTAAGGTTGAAAAAACTTATACTTAAAAACTATACTTGAATCGATATACTACAGGCTATTTGGATAGAAGGGGTAAAAAGAGGGATAGAGGAATCTACTAATGAGAGTTTGATTACAAAAAAGTATATTGAAGTTGGGAGACAACTGGGAGGGAATAGTGGAATACTTGGAAGTGTGTTGTGAAGCTATTATCTATTTCATGTGTCAATATTGAAAGATGAAGAAAACTACTTCAGCTTCCTCTTTAGCAGCAGCATCTGCTGCCCCAAGTCTGGCAAGCCAGAGATCTTTGGACAATTTTCTATTGCAGGAAAGAAACGCAATGCAGTTGGAAACAAAAGCGATGTTCAAATCAATACAGGAGTCAATGACCAAACTACATGAAAGAATACAAAAATGGATGATAAAGTGGAAAGTATCCAACAAACAATGATAAAAAATGAAGAAAGAATTTAAAAAGTAGAGGAAAAATCAGAACAAACTGAGAAAAAGATGGTGGAAATGGATCAGAGACTAACCCAAGTGGACTAGAGCCTGGAGGCCTCAATAATATCCCTGGAGATGGAAAAAGCTGAATACTTCCTAAGATTTCAAAATATAGAAGAGAAGGGAGAAGACCTCCCTGATAAAATCACAGAGTTGTTGGCTGAAATCTTGGAAGTGAGCAAACAGAAGGCATTAACAAAGATGGATGAAATCTTTCAGGTCCATACAGGCTATGTAAGGAGGAATAGGCTCCCCAGAGAAGTACACATTAGGTTCCTGAAAAAAATGACCAGAATGGAAATACTTCAAAAAGAGAAAGGAAAGCCAATGGTGTACAAAGAGAAAGAAATAATGATCCTAAAAGAGATACTGAAAAGAGTGTGAGACATAAGAAGAGAATACCAATCTCTGGCAAGAAAAATGATCAAATATGATATACATTTTAGGTGGCTGATACCTGAAGATCTATTGGTGACTTGGCATAAAAAAGATATAGGCTAGATTCAATAGATAAGGCAATTAAATTTGAATAATACTTTGGCATGGAGGAAGAAAAGGAGAAAAGAGAGAAAACAGATGATAAGAGACAAAAAGTATCGGACGAAGAGGAACCATTACAGCTAAAAGGGAGAGAAAGGGAGCAAAAAGAAAGAGCAGAACAGGAAGAAGCTAGAACAAAAGAACAGAGAGAAATAAGAACCACTAGAAGAACTAGACCAATCTACAAGTAAAAAGATGGAAAAAGAAATTATGTTAATGTCAGTCAATGTTAATGCTCTGAACTCTGCAATGAAAAGGAAAAACGTTTTCAATAATTAAAAAAAAATGAATTCAGATTTGATTTGTCTCTAGGAAGTACATATTTAAAAAGCCCATTATAAACTATTGGAAAACCCCCAAATAGGGAAACTATGTGTCTCATTAGCACAACAGAAAAAAGAGCCCTCTTCATCAAAGAATCAAAACAAATTTACAAACTTGAAGAGGGAAGAATTTTGTTAGTGGAAGTAATGATGAATTATAAACGGACATTATTAACAGTAATATATACACCAAATACTAACCAAGAAGTTTTCTATAACGACTACATAAAAAAAGTATAGAAACAGAATATGATAACATCTGTATTGTAGGAGATTTCACTGCAATTATGGATGTAAAATTAGACTATAAAAGTAGCAAAACAAACCAAAAAAACTAGGAAAACTTTACCAAAGACCTTTTTTAAAATGATGGATGAATTAGGTCAGTAGTGGCTAACCTTTTTGGGCTTCCGTGCTGAAAACTGCACATGCACTTGCACGCTCGTATGCCAGCACCCAGAAGGCAATGCATGCAGCACCCTGCCTCCTGCGCATGTGCACATGACCCCCCCGTGTGTATCATGCACCTCTGCACATGCGCATGAGACTCCCACATGCACCCCACACATCTCTGCGCATGCACGTGTCCCCCCCCACACACACACACCCTGCGCATGCATGTCAGTCAGATACCTGACAATTTGGCAGGCCAGTGGCACGCGGGCATGTGCAGTGGGACTCTTCCAGGCAACCTCTCACGTGCCGGCAGAAGTGGCTCTGCATGCCATAGGTTCGCCATCACGGAATTAGGAATTAAAGATGCTTGGAGGAAATTAAAACGAGAGAAAAAACAATATACTTTCTATTCAAACATGCATAAATCATGGTCTACATGATATGGATGTCATCGGAATTACAAGAGAATATACAAGAAGTAGATGTGGAGTCAAGTATTTGGGCAGACAATAAAAGTTAAATGAAAAGGACAAAAAAGAAAACCAAGATGGACATTAAGGCAGTCAGCAT